ATTGTGTTATATTATATTTCTGGAAAATTTAAGGGGTAGTTATATAATAATTTTGGACGATCTCGGGCGGTCGGATATTTATGACCGCTACTGTATATTATGTATTAAGATAACAAATAGATTATATCTTAATTCTTTTATAATTGATTTAAAATAATAACAAAAAAAAAAAATTTTATGAAATGAAAGATAAATTTATTTATTAATTTTAATTTTATTTATTTGATTATTTACTATTTAAACTATTCTATTTAACCATTTTACTTTTTAGTTACTTTTGATATTATAGTATTTATAAATTTTTTTAGCAAATCAAATTAATTATCAAGTAGTATGGAATTGACTTTATAATAAAATAAAATCAGATAATATTTTAGTATATTTTTACAATAATATTAATAAATATTTAGAAAATATTAAATTTGATTTTATATGATGAGATTTAAAGATAAGTATAATTTTAATAATGAATCTCTATTGGTATAAAATTTAAAAATAAGACAAAAGCATTATTTTTTATAAGTATAATTTAATAAATGTATAAATATAATCTTAACTTTTATAAGATATTATTATTCCTTTAAAAGTACTTAAAAGAATAAAATGTATACTTCCTAGAAAAATTATTTCTAAATATGAGAAGTTTACAAATAATTTTCACAAAAGATAAACTTCAAATAAATTTAAAAATATGAAAAAACTTGTAGTATATTAAGTATTTATCTATTTTTTTTTTAATTTAAACTACTTTCCTTCCATATATTATTATATATAAGAGTCTTAAAAACTAGTCTTATACTTAACGATTTTATTAAATTTACTAAATAATAGATTTAGATATAATAATTTAGTATTAAAGTTAGCATAAAAGTGATCTAAAATTAGCAAATTAATAGAATCACTCTAATTCTCTATCAGTTTTTATTTGCTTTATGATACTGTTATAACAATATTATAATACTAAGCTAAATTTCTTAAAATATATATTCTAAAGATTAGTTAGAATTATATTATAATATCAGCTAAATTACCACAAAGTAAAAAATAAATTAAAACAATTAAGATATTATAATTAATACTAAAAATGGTCACTGTAATTAAAAAAATAATGCAATTAAGTTGCAACTCAATTGAAATTTGAAAATAATTATGAAGATCATCTTTAATTAATACAATATAATTTAATTAGTATAATATAGTTTATTTAGAATAATAATTTAAAAAGAATAGTTTACGATAATGTAGACTATAATATATTAAAAATTATACTAAAATAAATATAAAAATAAAAAATAAAATAAAATTTAAAGATAATTAGAATATCAAAGATCATAACAATAGAATATTATAGTTTACAGCAAATATTATAGTCTATATTAAATAGATTATTTTCTTAGTTTTTAAATATTTATTTTAATTTATAATATATATATATTATAAGTTAAAATAAACGTTTGAAACTGAAAATATAATCTATTTTTATTTTTTTTAATATATTTAATAAGTATAATACATATTTTTTAGATTTAATATATAATTTTTACCATGTAATTCTATAGATAAAATATATTTTTTCTATCTATTTATTATTTAAGTTAAAAATCAAATTTTAGCAAATTTTAGATCAAAGTAAAAAATATTTTTCTGAATAAAATTACTATAAATTCTAGTAATTAGATTGCAAATAAATGTAAAATTTTAAATAAAGATTTAAATCAAATCAAGATAATAATAAAAAATCTCTTAAATTATATATGTTAACTTAAAAAAAAAATACAGTTAAATTTAGAAAATAAATGATTTCAAGTTTTAAATTATTTAAAAGGAATATTATTTATTAAATCTAAAACTAAAATTACTATAAAATTAGAAGAATGTAAATTTTTTAAGTAAAAGTAAAGTATTAAAAGAAGATTTATTAAAAAATAACTTTTTTTAAGTCTGAAATAGAAATAAAAAAAAAATGCAGATCTAACTACTAAAAATATTAACTTATTTTCTAAGAAAAAAGAAATTTAAAAGATAAATTATTTGAAAAAAAGAATTAATTAATGCAGATAAAAAAATAATCGTATTTTATCACAAAAGATATTAATAGAAAAGATTTTCTCCTTTAAGAGACAAAATAATCTATAAGAAAACTTATAATAACAATCACTTTATAAGAAAATATTTTAATTACAATATAAAATTAATATATTTCATTTATATTAATTGCCTAAAAATATTAATAGCACATACTATATGATTCATATAAAATCATTAATACAGAAAATTTATGATTATTCATTTAGAATACTAAAATAAAAAAATAAGCTTTAATATAAAAAAGAATCTAGTTTTATATCTTTTAAATTAAGGGTGACAACATGGAAAATTGAAAGATAAAGGAAAAGTTTGATTTATTTTTTGCTTTTTTTGCTTTTACCAATGTATCCTTTATTTAAGTTATATGGATATAGTTATTTTCAATAGTTTTTTTTATGTTTTGAATTATAAATAAGACTAATATACTATATATTTTTTAATGATAATTACAAAATAATATAAATTAATTATACTTTTTATTTTAAATTTTAAAATTATTAATCCATTTGATTTTACTTTAAAAATAGGTAAAGCTTTATTAACAGATAATGAAATGTCAAAAAAGCTTAATTATGAATCAAAAATTGTAATATAAACAGATGTTTTCTTTATATATTTAATAGCATATTTTATATAAATAAATGGATTAATTACTGGCTAAACTTTGCTGAAGTATAAAGGTCAACCTATAACAATAATATTATTATAAGTTGAAATGCTTTTATGTAAATTTATCGATATTAACTAAAATATAATATTATTAATTTAATTTGGTTTTCGGCTTCAAAATAAGCAGTGACAATTATTCTTTTTATTATTACTAGGAAACGGAGACCGTTGTTAAGTTCCGGTCGATTTTACTGTCTGAACACAACAATAAACTGAAATTTTAACTACAACGTGATCATAATGAAGATTATAAGTCTGATTTTTAGTACGATCACGTGTCAATGTTGTGATGAAACCAAGACCCTATCATTTAGTTACGAAAATAGTAGACAAAATTAAATTAGCAATGATGTTTTCGATGTTTATGGTATGAGGTGGAAACTCTTTGTTGAGAAAGTTTAGAAAATGTTTTTGAATCAATAATTCAAGACAGAAAAATATTGCTGTTATTTGTAAGTTTTGATAGGTTTAATTTAAATCTTTTTGGTGACCAATCAAATTCTCAAAAAAATAATTTGATTTTATTTAATTCAGAATCGAAACAATAATTACAATCTTCTTAATACTTTAATGGAATAAATGCCATAAATTACAAGGAATGCTAAGGCTTGTCCTAAAACGAATAATAAATATAAAAGAAATAATATTTCATTACTTTCAACCTAAATCCTTTTCAATAAAGGTATAAAAATTTTTAAAGCGAATTCCTAATTTAGTTTAACTAAAAAAATTCACACTGGTATTTACTTTATCACTTCGTTCCAGCCATTATTAAGGGACCAATCACGAAAAGACTCAAATTTCGAGCGGGACATTTTTGTGTCACCCAGAATACTAATTACAAATTGCAAACGTCAATCAGAGCGGGACAACTTGAGCAGTGTACGAACTAGACTTTAGCATATACCGGCCTGAAAATTCCAGCCAATAAAATCCGGGAAAAATTTAAATTTTCCGGTTCCGGATAAATTTCCGGTTCTGAGTCAAACGGTATAGAATTATATAGTCCGAAACGCTAATTAATTTTTATTTTGTGCAAAAAAAAGGCATATTGTAGAAAAAAATAGTTATTTCTTAAGAGACCAATTAACCCACTTTTTTATTTTTTTAAAAATAATAATGAATAATGAATAATGAATAGTGAATAATCAAATATAAAAAAGAAATATCAGATATTTCTAATGATAATGTTAACGATAATGATAATAATAATACAATAAACAAAAAAGAAAATTTATCTAATTAAGCCCAGACACCTATTAATATAAAATAATGAAAAAATTTAAAAGGTATTCATTTGTAGATGTTGGAAAATAACCAGTCCTAAATAGTCCATTTAAGAACTGAAGTTCTAACTCGGCCATAAGTCTACATATACTAAAACTGGACCGTTTTAACATTAAATCATAATAAATTACTTACCGATCAAAGACATCATTCCAGCTCCCAAAAGGAAAATGAAGAATGCTGAACATTGATGAGCGATAGATTTCTTATGGAATTTTGGATCATTAATGAAATCATTGACAAGCAATTCAACCAAAGCAGCGTAAAGTAAGATACCAGCAGAGATAGAATCAAGAACACCTTGAACTATAAGCGCTGATTTGGATTCAGGATTATACGTATCATGTACACCTAAACCAATGGCGATTCCGATAGGGGTTGTCATGCCATAAGCAAAAGACATGAGCCAAGGTTTGAAACTACCTTGAGGATATTCAAGTTCGGCAATTCTGGACCCAAGACCAAGTCCTTCGAACATCTTTAAAAAATCACGTGATAAATATAAAATTCAAATATTTATAATATTTATGATTGACAATCTGATGCACGTTGCAGTACCTGATGAAAGACTAGGGCGATAAGAAGAGAAATAAAGTCCGAACCAGTTGAAACAGATAAGGCCATTCCGATGATAACTGAATGGAGGCAAATTCCAGCTTCTAAAACAATGATTCCAATAGTTTGAGTTTCGTTGGTTAACAAAACTAAAGTTCCATGATTATGAATAGAAGAACTATCATCTTTAGAAGGTTCCGAAATAGGATCACTTTTATGCGTTGGTAAAATGTCTTTATTGTCCAATCCCTTAGTAGTAATTTTCAAAGCAGTGTATTCAATAAAAAAGATGGTTAATGACGCTATCATTGAAATAAGTCCAGCCCATGCATAATCATGCCAGATTGTAGGCAAACATTCATTAGATAACATTTCAAAAGCCGAAGGTAACATCTGAAAAAAAAAGAATGTCGCCACATATTAATTTATTTGGTAACCTATTATAATTTTTTTTTTTTAAAAAAAAAAAGTTTTCTTACATGAATAAAAGCCGTAGCAAGAATAACCCCGGTTCCAAAATTTTTGCAAACTATAAAAGAAATTATATTCAATACGTTTGAATTACATTAAAAACGTCAATAAGGATATTTCTTAACATACAAAAGAAGATCCAGCCAGGTATTCTAAGACCTGGGCGTTTCTTTGAGATGAGAGGAACGAACGCTCCTATTATAGAGTTTTTTTTTTTTTAAAAAAAAAAAAAATTTAGACAAACTGCATGATATTTTCATGACAATTAAAAATAAAGGACTCTTACCGAACGAGCTCGTAACAAGAATGATAAAAAAGGCACCAACGTGGAGTTTCAAATTGTAAGTAGCTTTATCGAATTCCTTCGCTGCACATGCATCTTCACCTTCGACGTGTTCGGCTACTTTAAGTTGTAATTATTTTTTCGGAAAATCTTTATTAAATGAAATCAAAGCTTTATGAAAACTTACCTTCGTTTTGAGCAAAGGCGAACGTAGCTGACAATACCAACATCATGAGAGTGCCGAAAAATAGTTTAGACGGCTTAACATTTCCATAAGAATTAAAGTTGGGAATCATGATTATGTTTTATAGAAAAATAAAGCCAAGGCTAAAAAAATCATAAAAAATGAGAACTTTTTCTTAAAATAATATAAAAAAGCTTAATATGTATTTTTTGGAGGGGAGGGGGGAAGGAAGAGGGGGAAAGAAATTTTCTTTAAAAATTGGACCATTTTGTACCGTTTCTATAATCTATAAAAAAAAATTACTGAATTACTGTAAAATATTAGTTAACCTATGAGGTACCCTTTTTTATTATATGTAATAAATATATTTGTAATGCAATTTAAAAAAGTCCTCCAATCAAATAACCGATCGCTGGGAGATCTAACCATTGAGGTACTTGTAATGGAGTTTAAATGAGAAATGTAACACTACTTAATCGCGATTTTTCTTCAAATCTTTTTTTTTTTTCAAACTTTGCTTTTAGCATATCAACTCTTTTCTCGTCAATTAATTAATTCGATTAAATTTAAACCAACACACACAAATCTAGGATTCTAGGAAAGAATGGAAGTAAATTTATCCGGTCTCAAGAGATGGTTTTATTGGAAAAACATTTTTTTTTTTTCCCAAAATAGATTTCGATCAACTTGTTTTTTTATCTTGTTGTACATTAACCGTTACATTTCCGAATCTCTTTCCTATTTAGGACGACCTTAACGGTTATATCAGATTTAGTGAGCGGAATAACGATAACGTAACTATTTCAAATAAAATATTTAGGAATTTTATATCCGAAAAGAGGGCGTGCGAATATTAGATTAAGAACTTTATAGATGTGATGCCATACAGGTGCACTGATGTGGTGAAAATAGTCAAAAATTTAAGGCGCTGAATGTAACAATTGAACAGTTCGTTTACACACACACATATTATTGTTATTTCTTTACAGCTTTACATGCAACCTTCGTGTAAGTGGCAAATGATATAATAATAATCTATTGTGAAGAAAAAAATTTAAGAGGTTTGAGATCGTTGATACTCTTAAACTAGCTAGTAACTTTAGTTACATCCTCTATGCTAACCAAAATTGTAACTTTTCAAGGGTATACCCTCATTTAATACAACTACCCGAACCAATTATCAAATTATATTTTTTTATTCTTAACGCTAGGCCAAGATTTTTCAAATCTTTGAAATCCAATTACAAATTCCTATACTTTAATATTAATAATTACCCAATTTATTAATCACCTCTCGCATTACTTTATTTTCACATAATTCGTTATGAATATAAAAGAATTCTTTTGGTTTTAATTGTTTACCCTTTCTCGTCATGGCCTTTATTTCATTTTCATATATTTTATTTACTTTCCACGTAGTAAAAAACCTAAAAGAAGGTTCAAGTGACTTCACGGGTAAAGTTGTAAAGTTTGATCTACAAAACAAAGTGAGAGTTTCAATTGTTAAAAAAGATTCGGGCGTGATTTGTGCTGAAGAACTTTCGGATGTTGAAGGATTTTTTAAGGTTGATGGTTTGTGATAAATGTTTCTAACATATGGAGAAAGACACAAATGAATTAATCCTGTTGAAACCGCGCTCGTTGATAATGCTTTTGTTTTTTAAAAAAAATAAGTTTTATATGGTTAATATTTGTTTAAATATATTTACATATATAATAAGATTTGTAATGAAAATCATACTTGTAACAAGCAAAAAAGTTCTAGCTCCTAATCCCATAGGTGCGTCAACGATCATAATGATTGGACTTATCATAATTGTAATAATTAAAGAAGCCATAGAAAAAACCTTTAATTTCTTGGCTGTGCCAGATAATGGTCCAGAATATACTTTATAATTTTCGTTTATAACATTCTTTTTTGTTAAAGTGGTTGAAAATTGCTTCGAGTAATTTGGTTTTTGTAAAAATTTAATTTTATTTGTATTTGTGAGATATTTCGTTTGAGAAATACATATTAAGGTGGAATAAGTTCGAATACAGTTTTTGAACATTTTTTCTTTGGAGAAAAAAATTTTTTATTTTTTTTTTATCATCATCAATATATGTTTTAACCAATTGATGTCCGATGCCCGATCAATAAATTGATTGGCCCTTTGCAATTGCACAAAATTCTAGATAAAGCAAATACCAGTGTGATTTTTTTTAGTTAAGATCGTTTCAAAAAAAAATATATTTAAAATTAAAATTAAAAATAATTATTATTTATTTTATTATTTAAAATTAATAAATCACGGAAAAATTAAAAAAAAAATTTTTTTGAAATAATATTAAATCTGAATTTATTTTAGTAAAAGAACAAATATATATAAAGTAAATTATTTTTTTTTTGGTAGTTTTTTCTCTGCAAAGTATCTATTATAATCGAAATATTTTATGATATTTTATTTTATAAAATATTAAATAATATTAAATTAATATTATTTAATATTAGGGTATTCTAGTTTATAGCCTAAATATATAATTACAAGTTCTTTTACTAATTCATCTAAATATCAATCCACTTTTCTTTGACTAAAGCTTGCAATATTTATAATATTCAATTATAAATATTTCTTTATATTTGTAAATTACCTTTATTTTATTTTGATTTAATAATTTGTAATAATCTGATAGTTTACATTAAGAATTTACTATCATTTTCTATTTCACATATATTAGTTAAACTTTATTAACAATATCTTTATTAATATATAACCATCATGATGAAGAAATACAGTGGGATATCACCATATAATATAATTATATTATATGGCGATATCCCACTTACCCTAGATTATATTACCGTCATATAATCTGAATATCACTATATGATCTAAATACTACTATATAATCTGAATACTACTATATGATCTAAATACCACTATATAATCTGAGTACCATCATATGATCTAAATAATATAATTTATTTACCATCATATAATCTAAATAATACAATCTAATTATCACCATATAATCTATTTATTTTCACGTATTGGGTATCTTTTTTATATTCTACCTATTCTTTTAAATCTTTCTTATTATCTGTATTTTTACCACCATATAATCTAACTACTACTCACTATTTAATCTAACTATCACTATATAATCTAAATACCACGTTTTTCTTCTTGTTTCTGAGTCATTTACATGTTAAATTCTATAATAGAGTTGTTGATCCTCTGTAGCTGTTTGGATATCTGGTTTTATGTTGAGGATACTGACCTCCTATACCTGATTAGTTGCTGGATTCTATGTTGGAGTGCTTTCACTTTGCGCCTATTTGGTTGCTTTTTTAGATCCTAAAATGTGATAAAAAATATCTTGTCAGGTGGCGCAGTAAATTTGCAATTAATTTTGGCTGATCTTTTAGATATGTGATTTGAGGATCCAGCTTGGCATCATGATGGTAAATTGATAATGTCCTAAAACTATCATAAAACTGGCAGGAACCAGAGTATTTCTATTAGTTCGCCAGTTTCAGGTCAGCTTGGATGCCAAGTTATTATGCTTACTATGGTCAGCCCATTTGATTGCCAAAAATACACCATTTCGCAATCTAACTATTACCTATTAGTTGCCAGTATGTGTATACTGATTTTGCATCCTGAAGTTAGAGGTGCAATATGTATTATCTTAGCTTAAACCCTTTTGATTACCAGAAGTGCACTATTTGTCAATCCAACTATTGTTTATTTGTTGCTAGTATAATTATGCCAATTTTACATCCTAAAGTTTGAATTATTAAAGTATATTCATATTGTATTTCTGGCATGTTTTTGATATGTTTTCAGGCATATTAGAATGCGAAATAGGACAGATTTTTTGTTCCTATCAACTTAGCTAAAAAAATTTCATAAGAACACTCATAGAAACACATTTGTATATCGCCTTCGCTTTCTTGAGTCGATTGATTGCTTTAT